TGTACTATCTACTTGCATCATCTAGATCTTTAGAGATGTCATAAACATGTATTCAGATATCCTTGCTTTTCACTTTTAACCCTAGCCTTTGAAGTAATCGTACATGCCGGTAGGTCGTTAATAGCCTTTTGCTAAGCTCAACTCAACTTTATCCATGCATCCTGCCATGCAATCAGTCCCCAAATCCAGCTAAAGGACCCGTAACCAGTCCAAATGCATAGCTCATGCGAATCTAGTTAAACCAGTCGCCTTTTGAAACGTCTCCAAACAACCCAACACCGGTAAACAACATTCAGTACACACACCACACCATACAAAAGCCCTATTGTCCCTTCCTCTCACTTTTTACCCAACACCCTCTCCATACCACCAACTACTCAACCAGATCATCAACCCGTCTCCACGACCCCGACCTCTCCAACCTCTCCCACCTACGATCCCACCCCGTAACCTCCTCCGCAAGACGATCCTCCATTCCGACGGACCCAAAGGGCTGCTGCTTGCGCAGAGTAATAGAAGATGTGGTATCCTCAGGGCGCTCGTAGCCCGATAACTCAAGAACTTTATCCGCGGCACGGGTGTGCGCAACAGTGCTGTCGAGACCTACGTCGGTAGAGAGCAGGAGTGGCTCCCGGTACCAGTTCTGACAAGGGCCGAGGAGATCATCCGTAGAGGCGAAGTCAAGGCGAACGACGCCGTCCGCGACACCGGTGTAGATGGTTGGTGAAGAGGGGGAGGGCGAACTCATGCTGTAGATTGCGCCGCGGTAGGAACGGGTGTTGTGGCGGCGACGGCCTTGGGTGCGGCTAGATGGTGGGTGGGCGGAGAGGAAGATGGAGATGTCTTTGCGAGGAAAGGTGATGCTATTGTTGGTGGGGGTGAGGGAGAGGTTTGAGAGGCTGTTTACGATTCGTTCGCTGTTGTTGGGAACGGTTGGGGAAGGACGTGCATCGTGGTAGCTGTATGTTTCGTTCTTTGGCATACGCAGGTCAAAGATCTTGACTAGAGCGTCACCGCCGGAGCCGACGACGAAGCGGTCGTGGCCGAAGGGGTGGATGCAGTATATGGGGTTTTGGTCTGTGGTATCACGGTAAACCTTTTCGTATTCGTCGTTTGAACGGATGTCGTGCAGTCTGAGCGTGTTAGCGTAAGGGTGGAATGATGGGGGTGGGGGTGATTGTACCTGACGGCTCTATCGCCCCAGGCTGCGAGGAAGACTTGGCCGGTGGGATCTAGGGGAGAAATGGCGTTGACATTGGGTCTGATGGGCCTATGGAGATTGACTCGCTCGAAGTCCACTAACTCCGCATCGAGCTCACGAATGGGTGATAGACCTTGCGGTGTAATGGTGGAGATAATCACCGCTTCGTGGGCGCTTCCTGTGCCGACTGCGAAGAGTGTAGGTGAAAGGAACTTGTGGTACGTGTGGCGAGAACTTATGCTTGAATCGTCGCCAGTGTCGGCATTGAGACGAGCGAATGGCTGGACTATCTCTTCTCCCGAAGTGGTAGTGAAGAAAGATATCGACCCGTCGCTCAGATGGGCAGATAAGATTGGGTCCTTTCCGTCACTCATATCTGTTCGCTCAATGCCTAGTCCGGAGGTCATGAACCGCTGCTTGTATACATGAGACGCGCTATTAGGGTGGATAGAGAGATGGAATAGCTCTCCGCGCACTCGTGCAACGACTATATGTTCAGTCTCGGGGTCCTTGGAAGGGTGCTCAGGACGTAGAAGATGGACACCACATATGTCATCATGGCTGCTGATGTCGTCGAGATCGTTGAAGACAACCCAGTTCCCCTTCGAATTGGGGCCAGGTTCGGCGATGCGCAAAACTAGTTCGTCTGCCGCGCCCCATGCAAGCACCTCCTTTCGATCGTTCCACGAAGGGCTATTCCAGACTTCATACGAGTCCAGAGCAGGGCGATATCCATGAGTAGGGTTGTCCCCTCGTGTGGAACTATGGGATCCGACCTTGACTGCTTCTGCGGCTGGTACGACGAATCTACCGACAACTGCATGTTTGTCTAATGCTCTTGACCGAGATGTGAGTGCTTGTGCTGCTTCTCTCCAGATTTCGGGAGTTTCCACTCCAGGGAACTTGTTCTCAACAAAGGTTTTAAATATGCGCCAGTCTTGAGCAGCGACAACATGTCGCAAGCGCCAACAGGTCATTGATAGGTTTACCAACGCGCTGGCAGATGGCAAATAGCTTGCAATGAGCTGTATGATTTCCGGGGGAAGCTGTGCAAGCATGTTGAGGGTCAGGATGTCAGATTAAGACTGTCTTATATGCTCAAGTAGATGATTCACAGGGATGACGTAAAAATCTCTGGCGTCACACGTGTCAGTTAAGTGAGTTGCTAAGATTCACGAGGATGCAGAGAAATATTCACACATTTACTGATCTAAACAACGACAAGGGAATGCTCTAGGAAAGGCCAGGTGGTGGTGGTTGCATGAAGGAATCGCCATGGCGATTCAAGACATTGTGCGCCCCGTCCGATCTATCGCCGCGGTAATCTGCAGAGTGCGTGAGGCCATCAACGTGACCCGTGTATCAACATTATTTGGTGTATATAGGTTTTCGAAGCCTGGGAATAGGCTAGTGACAAGTAGACACCCCAAATATAGATTCTAGATGCGATGCTCTGGGAGATGGCACAGAATGCTTGATGTGGATGGTGGAGAAATGTGGCTGGAGAGCCTTATGTCATCCGGCACTTATCTTATCGGCTCCTCGGCTCTTCCTTTGGTACTTATCGGCAATCCAGCCTTTCTGAGTGGTGGAAGCCAATTATCTTCCATGAGGAGTTGGAGAAGCTGGAGATAGACGATGTTACCCCATCATGCGGTGACTCAGGCTCTTCGGCTATATATCTGGGCCTATTCTGGGCTTCGGTATGCCTCTTCCATGTATTCTGGTGCTTGTTTGTTCCTTCTCTGCGTGGCGTACACCTCTACCCTAATCTTGTGGCTCACTTATAGTAGCTCTTTATTGACTATTTGCCTGGTACGCCAGGCATTGGGCTTGCGGAGTTGTCCGAAACTTACTTTGTTGCTCATATGACATCTTGTGGGTTTCGGAATCTTTTCAACTCGGCGTTGAGGAGATTAACATCCTCCACTTGTGCATCAGCTCAAACATCTATATCTTGAAGCACCAGGCAACATGGCGGTCTCTGCCGTTACTCTCGCGGCAACCAGCTTTTGTATCCTACTACTGGCCTACAAACTGATTATATACCCAGTCTTTCTCTCCCCATTGTCGAAGATACCCAATGCACACTGGTCAGCTCCAATCTCGCCAGTATGGATTATCTGGAGACGGTATAGGGCACAGAATAACCGGACCATCCAATTCGCACATGAAAGACTAGGACCTATTGTCCGGCTTGCACCATCGGAAGTCTCCGTCAACTGCGTCGATGGGGGCATCAAATCTATCTACACGGGTGGATATGAGAAACACGAATGGTACCCTCGTGTCTTTGGCTCTTTTGGGTAAGCGTAGCCCCAACAGTGAGTGCATGCGACGACTATATTGACATGTATAATCTGCACAATGGTAGAACCGTTAGCATGTTCACCATGACAAACAACAAATCCCACTCCACCCGCAAAAGGATGTTGTCCAACATCTACAGCAAGTCATTCTTGCAGTCCTCGCCCCATATCCACCTCATCTCCGAGACCATCCTGCTCGATCGTCTCCTCCCCATCATCCAGGATGCCGCCTCCTCAGACTCGCCCATTGAAATGCACGACCTCGACCAGGGCATCACAATGGACTTTGTCTCCGCCTACCTCTACGGCCTAGCCAACGGGACCAATTTCCTTCAGGACGAATCTTTCCGGCGCAAGACCCTCCGCCTTTACCAAAGCAGAAAGCCCTTCGAATTCTACCACCAAGAAGTCCCAAGCCTCGTATCATGGGCCAAGCGTCTCGGCCTCCGCTTAACCCCCAAATGGTGCGACGAAGCCAACGAAGTCCTCGACGCCTGGGGTCTATCCTTCTGCGACAAAGCAGACGAATGCCTCAGCTCGACCCAGCTCAACACAGAACCCATGGTCTACAAGCAACTCAAGCAAAGCATATCCAAACAGCTCCCGCCCAAAGAATCATCATCCTACCCCAAGCTCATCGAGCAACAACGCCTCGACATCGCCTGCGAACTCTACGACCACCTCACAGCCGGCCACGAAACCAGCGCTGTAGCCCTGACCTACCTCTTCTGGGAACTCTCCAAGCACCCGGACCTCCAGTCCTCTCTCCGCAAGGAGCTCCACACCCTAGAACCTAAGATCCTGTACCCCCGTCCATCATCCTCTCGAGACCTCCCCACCCCCAAATCCATCGACTCCCTACCGCTCCTCGACGCCATCGTAACAGAGACCCTACGCCTGCATGCCCCAATCCCCGGTATCCAGCCCCGAGTCACCCCGTCCTCTGGATGCACGCTAGTCGGGTATAGCGATATCCCCGGGAACACGCGGGTCAGTGCGCAGGCGTACTCGCTTCATCGCAATCCGGAAGTCTTTCCGGAGCCGGAGACGTGGCAGCCGAAGCGGTGGCTGAAGGATTGTAATTCGTTGCAGGAGTTGGAGGAAAGAAGACGCTGGTTTTGGGCGTTTGGGAGTGGGGGGAGAATGTGCGTGGGAAGTAATTTGGCTTTGCAGGGTATGTATACCTTTCATGGAGTGGTTCATGAGATGAAGCTGACCAGTTATTTTACAGAAATGAAATTGGTAGTCGCGGCTATCTATACCAATTATACGACGGCTATAATCGACGATGAGGATATTGAGGCTATCGATGCGTACACGGTTAAGCCGAGGGGGGAGAAGCTGGTCTTGAAGTTTGAGTCTGTTGCGTAGGTTCCATGTTTTCCTTCTGGTAGCTATTCTAGTATATAGTTTATGATTTCCTGTACTTCTTCACTATTCTTCTGCAAATCCATTATTGAAATTTACAGAGTATTATACGATACGACCAAAAGAAATCGAAAATGATTGATAACATACAACATCCACATAATAATATACAAAAAGAACCCTCCCACCTACCCTCAACACAGAATCAGAACTGATGTGGTAGGTAGTAGCATATTACAAGCCCAAAACTCCAAAATAATAAAAAATATTTTCTCTCTCCCCCTCCGCGAAGAAGTTCTTCACTTCCATACCACCACACCCTCTACTCATCCATCATATCAGGCCAGACAAGACAAGAGCGAAAGTTCGACGACAGTAGGTAGTAGGTGAATCGTATGCCCGTATGCAACCGCTCGAAAAAAGGTTTTGAATCACACGCAAATAATGTAGTGTATATATGGTTTGGCAATTTAACCCAACACACCGTCCTTCTTCTTGGGACCGACGACCTTGGGGAACATTCTCATGAGGTGGTAGTTGATGGGGTTGCGCTTCTGGGACTTGGGTTTCTATTTGGTGGGAAAGGTATGATTAGCACAGTCCAGAGCCCATATACAATCCAGAATCGAGATGATTCCACCGGAGGAGAGTGATAAAGAGTGGAGGGAAACGTACAGGAGCATCCATGCAAGATCTCAATTGTTGTTCGAGAACGGCGCATCCCTCGTGGGTGTAGCCCTGGGATGCCCAGCAGCCTGATCGAATTCATATAATATTAGCCATATGCTTTAAACCACACCGATCTCCCTAGGGAATGTTGCATAACTCACTCAGCATAGACGACATCACCGCAACGCAGGTATTCGGCTCATTGGTGTTCGGACGCCGGACGCGCAGGTGAGGGATGGACTGCAGACGGACCGGGTTAAGGCGGGTAGAGACAGCTTTCGCGGGCATGGTTGCAATCGGTATCTTTGAATTCTCTCAAAAACAAAGATATAAGGAAGGGAGGGGGGGAGATAGCGACAACGGCAGCCGAGTGACGATGCGGACAAACCAAAAGTTGACTGAAGGCTTCGGAGGTGCCAAGACTTTTTCGGCGATTTGCCCGCCGCGGAAGTTGTCTGGCTGATGTAATCACCGCGGCGAGTTCACGCTGATAACTAACCTGGTTTGCCTCTGCTTCTTCAGCTTTTACTATATTGGAAGATTGCTTTTGAAACGCTGATCGGAGACAGAAATGAGCAGAAGGCATGTGAGCGCTTTTTACACTAATACGGTCACTCCGGTATGTGCGCCGAGACGTCAGGTTATACCCTCATCGAGATGCTTCTCTGTGGGGAGCGTGCGGCGAACTGCGGTGGGTTCGAAGCCGGGCGAGCAGCATGAGAATACCAAGTCACAGGATGAATCGAAGAAAGAAGAGGAGCAGGGAGCTATGGCGCGGCGATTGTCGGAAATGACAGAGCAGGCTGTGCTGGAAGGAGGCCGGTCCGCGCAGAGAAACATGCAACAGGCGGGGTTCTCGGACGAGCTGAAGCAACAGCTGGAGGAGAGGGTGGCGGCGGCGGCTTTCAAGAATGAGTACGCGGCCGCGCACTCTATCGCTGATATGCCGGTATGCTTGCTATATATGTATTACAGTTCCGATGGCAATCGGTTACTGACAAGACCCAGTCAAGCGCAGGTCAAGGAACACGAGATATCGCAAGCGCTCAGGCATGGACCGGAACAGAAACCACCCACGACATCACATTACGAATGTTGGACGACTCCAAGAAACGCATACGCACACCATACAAGATCCCCCAGCCAAACCCGGTCGACATGCGAATCAGCCCGAAGCCCAAAGATTCCACTGGCGTGCGTCTAGCGAAAGCCCGAGAGCGCACGGCAACATATTCTTTGAGCCAGAGTGAGGGGATCTCTGAGGACGAACGCGAAGCTATGCGCCGAGAGATGCGGGAACGGTTCTCCCCGGGGGCACGACCTATGCCGGCCACGTTGCAGGGGTTATCGGCGCTTGCGAACGAGCGGATCGAGGATGCGATGGCGCGCGGTCAGTTCAACAGGATAAAGAGGGGCAAGGGTGTGAATACGGAGACGGATCACCGAGCCAATAGTCCATTCATCGATACGACCGAGTACTTCATGAACAAGATGATTCAGAAGCAGGAGATCGTGCCGCCGTGGATCGAGAAACAACAGGACCTAGCTAGGGAGGTTGATCGGTTCCGATCACGCTTGAGAGCGGAGTGGCGACGACATGCAGCCCGGCTGATCGCCAGCGAAGGAGGGTCTCTGGATGTGCAGATGAGACGGGCAGATGCATATGCCGCAGCGGAGGCTCGACTGGCAGAAAGGGCCAAGATAGAGAAGATGTTCCGCGAGAGCGATACAGCGAGTGATGCTGGAGGGCTGGACTCTTCAGACGGAGCCACGCAGAGCTCAGACAGTGCGGTCACAGAGCCACAAGAGGATAAAGAGCCTTTGCCCTATGTTACGCCTCTGCGTGATCCGCAATATATGAACACGGAGCGTTCGTTTCTTGAACTGACGATCAAGAATCTCAATGCACTTACTCGGACTTACAATCTTCAGGCTCCTCCAGTGGCACAGAAGCCATACCTCAACCTTGAGCGTGAGCTAGCTGCATGTTATGCGGAAGTGGCTCCAAGCTTGGCGGAGGAAATCAAGCGGCGTGCAACTGAACGCGCTCGTCCAAGGAATTCGGGGCCTCAAGCGGCGAACATTCTGGAGTCTCTGAGCACATCGAGTAAGGTGCGTGTATATGAGGAGGATCAGGCCAAGGGCTATGGGTTCAAAGAATTCTGGCGGGACCTTTTCTCGAAGAAGAAATAGACAGTCAGAGACCTTGTATATAATAAAGATGATGCGCTGTGTATGATACTACCTGCATAATAGATACTATGAATGATTCCTATGGCCAAAAGACAAGGTATCTATCTAACGCGACGTTATCCATTCCAGCTAACAATATCCCGCTATCTCAACCAATACCGAGCATCAAAGCCCCCCTATCGACACATACTGCCAGACTGCTACTCATAAATGTCATCACAGCATCATCGTCAACAACTCCATCCAACCTAAGTTTTCAACGGTGACGGCGCCAATTTCTTAACCTGTACCTCAAGCGCCACACCGCGTACAACCCAAAAATCCAGACGACCGCCAACAACACATCAATCGCTGTCTCGAGAATCCTCAGTACCAATAATATTTGACCATACCACCAGGACTGCATCGCGTGATGTACAAGATAAAGTCCCAGTAGCCAAGAAGCAAAGCTGCATACGAGTGCGACTGTTGAGACGAGGAGAGCATCTCTAAACCAGTCTTCCCTCGTCGAGTGGGATATTCCGTCTGGTGTGCGAAGTACCCGATGCAAAGGCACCTTCATTCCATACCAAGCGCTAGCGTAGCAGAACATGATGAATATCATTAGTAGTACGGCGCCCAGCTCATCGCGTGTGCTTCTCCGCGGCGAGTTGGCCAGTGCGCGCTTTGTGATTGTGGTGTTGGTCTCGAACGACCGCTTGAGTAGTGATGTGTTTCGGTTTGATGGTGTTGTTAAGTCGGACCAGGGGACATTGAAATGGCCTTGGGGCCCCGCTGCTTGGGCCATATCAGAATGAGTGATGGGGATGATGCTGCGCAGGTAGGTCTCGGTATTTGTGGAAAGAACTCTTTGTCTAGCGCTGGAATAGTATGTTCTTTAGGTATTATGGATATTGAATAATAACGCGGGTGTGGCTATGTTTCAACGATGGGACATCGAGCGATGGCATGATGGTAGAGATGTGGTCCCTGTCGCAGTCGCATATGCACCGAACGCACATTTCTGGCCATCATGGGGAGTAGCCAACGAGTTGCGCCTTCCGGATATGAGCTGAGCATGGGAACTGGGAAGAAGTAGGACTACGCAGATGACGATGCTGCCCCAAACAATAGATACAGGCTATATGGCATTATTTATCACCACTATAGCTTCAGTCAGTTGACATCGCCTAGTCCCTCTGGACATGTGGCGAGCTATTGATTCTTGTGCTCAACTGTCAATGCTAGATCCAGAGCCTTGGATAGCTAGTACGCCAACGTCCCACTATTACCTGAGCCCTATATTGAGGACGAATAGTGTCCACGGGGGGATGGTGTGCGAGGGGAGAGAGAGGAAGAAGGGGAAGTGAGATAGTCTCTAAAACTCTCGGTAGGATGATAACCTCGTTTTCATTCTTGATCTAACAACCGTCACGAGTGTCCTTGTTAACTTTTGATGAAGAGCATACTCTAAGTGCACTCTTAGAGGTCATCTATACGAAAGTGACCCCATACTATACATCTGGTTGACTGAAACATGCGTTCAACATGTCGCAAGACCAGTAGCCCACTCAGCTTCAATACAAAACACAAAAGAACCAATGGCAATGATTTGTAATATCCTTGTTACCAGTCAGAGCAAGTTCAGAAACTACTCAGTGGAGAACATCTCGTCAGCAACATGAAGCTGCCGTTGCAATTCGCACGTCCACGGGCTGGTCAAACTGACAATCAACCATCGAGTGGTGATTATTCGCGTTTAGCATGGGCCTTTAGGTTTGCTAGAATCCATTCTCAAAGCAGCCTGTCTGATAAGGTAGTCAGCGGAAATGACTCGGACTTGGTTAAATCAGCTGTGACTCGACAGCAGTGACACCTGCATAGAGGGAAAATGTGCTTGGAACAGACCCTGTAGTTTGCCCCGGGCACAGACAAACCCTATCCAATCCATGCCGCTACCGTCTGTCACAAAGCGCTAAATTAGCGGGGATTGATTCGAGCATAACTGCCAGTAGTCAACCGCCCGATGTGATGGAGTGTGCCGTGCATGCAGGGCCGGCGCGTAAATTGACCAACGACCGACGAGGGACGGCCGTCGCAGCAGATCACCTCTTCACACCATCACATCAACTCCCCCAGGCCTCTCAATATACCGCTCCTCCCCTCTTTTCCTCCATCATGTCTCTTCCATTGCGCAAGGATTTGCAGCCTCCAGACCAGATTCGATATGTCTGCAGGTGCTACTTAATCGTCACCTTGTCTGCAGTCACAAAGCTTCATCCCGGCCTCAAATAATGCCCTATCTGCTACTCTTTGCGCTCCTTCCCCGCCTCATTACTGCTGGCTCAGTATCTAAGGAGCAGTTGAATCCTGTCCGTCGAAACAGCTATCCCATCACTCCAGCCGTGGACGAGTCGCTCCTGGCCATCCAGATCGGAGGCATCGTCGGTGCATACGTGATCTTCGTTGCTGTACTTCTTTCGCTGCTCCTCTTCGTGGGCCGCCGTCTGCGACGAGCTGTCCTCTCCTCCAACTACTCGCTCCACGTCGAGATGATGAAGCCCGTGAAGCCACCTCCCAGCATGGATCCCAGTCCTGTCACCCCGATCTCCGTCAACCTGCCCAGCCCGGGCCCTCGAAGCTTCAGCAGGTCCTGGAGCAGCCTCGGCAAGGGCTCTCGCTCCCACGCCTCAGGGACCACCACCAGCGTCGCCACGATCGACGAATCCGTCGTAGCAACTGACCGCCAGCGAGCCCAAGAGGACCTGGAGATGCTCTACGCCGCCGTGATGGAGCATGATGCACAGAAAGAAGCTGCCGCCGCAGCTCGGGGTGCCAACCAGGACTCCTCCGATGGAGACGAAGCTGTAGCAGAAGCAGCAGCAGAGAAAGAGATCCCCTCTCCAGACAGCATCCCCACGAATCCATTCACAGATCGCTCCTCTCACGTCTCCTCCAACAACTCCCCTCTGAGCCCGCGGTCCAGCGGCCGGCTTTCCCGCATATCCTCCCTTTCGCTGTTCAACCTCAAGTCGCAGAACCAGCAGCAATCATCAAGCAGCAACAGCAGCAAACTGCGTTCTCCACGACCCTTCCCTCTCCGCAAACTCTCGATCTCCTCTCCTGTCGCCTCCCCATCCTACCAGGCCGATCAACCCCCCTTAACCCCAAGACACTACAATCCTCCACCCCGACCCCCAGCACCTCCCCTCCCAGTAGCAACACCTGCAATGACTGCACAAAAGCAGCAACAACCATCCCTTCCCCAAATCAACACCCAACCTCCTCCCCTCCCAACTCCCCGTCTCGAGCCACCCCGCGCCAAAGAAAGATCCCCCCGCGGGCCCGTTCCTCCTCCCCTAACCCTAACCACTCCCACAGGGAGCAACACAACCCACCACGGACGCAGTCCATCATCATCGCTACCCTTCCGTGATGCTTACCCGCTACAGAGCGCGCCAGCCACGAAACTCACGGTGCTGGAGAGGCCGATGAAACAACTGAACGGGCCGAGGACGGGCATGCCGACGCCGTATAGTCCGTACATGCCATTTACGCCGGTGACGCCGTTGACACCCAGCTCGATGATTACGAAGAGGCAAAGACGAAGGGCGGAGAAGGAGAGCGGGTTGAAAGTGTTGAATGAGGATGATTTGGTCAGGGATGACGGGGATATGTGGGGGTATTAGCTTCTTCTATTCATTTTTCTCCGATTGGGTTCTTCCTGTGATTCTTTTCTCTTATGACTATAGGGTGAGTGGGGTATACGGTGATGATGTTCCGGGAATTATACTGCTTTCCTGGTTATGTGGTATGTGGTTATGCTTGGTTTATGAATATACGAGTATTTATTCGAGTTATGTTGAATGGTCATGTTATCATTAGTTGGACGGTCAACTTGCCAGCTTCTTCGGAGAAAGAAAGGTGGCCGGCTCGCCCGTGGATTAGTTGCATTAATCAGCCCGCACAACACCTCTCATTCCGTTGATGGTGCAGTAGTAGTATAAAGAACTGACTTCCATCCTCCTTTCAAACACTTGACTCACTGCCCTTACTCGAGCAAGTCTCAATCAACTCAACTTAGGCTTATATACTGGTTTATTGATTGTAGGCTTATACAGTACAGAAGAGAGAATCCTTCGATTTCTGCAGGAATCCACCACAGTAGTAAGATCAAGTAGAGGTAGATGATCCGCATCGCAACCATATCCATAACCATACAATAACCATAACCCTAATTAGATGCAAATGCCAAACACCATTGAAAAAAAAAAAGAGAAGAGTTGCTTCTAGAAAAGGTAGTACAAGTATTCGTCTATACAACTCCCGCTCTGCACTCCGTCTCAGCTTTCTTTTTTTTTACTACTTATAGAGCGTCTTATTCTTAACTAATTTTTCACTTCGTGTATGCAACACAGTTCCTGCCGACTGGTTAGTATTGACGATACATCAATCCTGATTCTGTTGAATTATCTAACCTTTGTCGTAACCACCCCTCTTCAACTAGTACTCCGAAAGATTCGAAAACTAAATAGCAGGACACTCCCACGTATCTCGCTTAATCTTCATCAAAGCCGACTGTTTATGCGGGAACGAAACCTCGCCTTCCTTGTAGAAGCCTGCTTCTTGGAGGTACGTAATCAACCTATTCAACCCATTAGCATTTGTATATGCATCTGGGATGCGCTGGCAGTAGTGGTGATGGGGACATACTTGAAATTATCCACCCTCGGCTCCAACATAACCGTCTGGGTTCGCGAATCCGCCAAAAAGCAATAATGCACCAGCGCACTCAGCCAGATCTGCACGCGGTGGGGACCACGGTACTCCTGCTCGCCAATTAACAGGTGAATGCCTCGATCGTAGTTGTCGGCTCCGCCGATTAGCGGCCCCAGCCGGTCTTCCTTCACCCAGTACAGCTCGAAGTAGCCAAATGGTTTGCCGTCCCAGCAGCCGATAACGGGGAAACTGTGCTTGCTGCTGAGGTTGGTGCGCAGGAACTTCTTCTGGTGTTCGATCGGGCCGGCTTCGCCCCAGGAGGCGTTGACGCGGGGGTCGTTCATCCATTTGTGCAGCAAGTCGAGGTCTGACGGCCCTGCGGTTAAGGGCTGGTCGAGACTGCTGGTGGAGTGGCTTGCGGAGTGGCTGGGTGTGGGGTTATTGGGGCGTGGGGCGGGGTTTTTGTGAGATGGGGGGATGTAGGGGATGCGGAATGAGAGATATTGTTGCACGCTGGGGATGTAACGGATGTAGAAGACGTCGCCTTGGTGCGGGGGTTTGGGGCGGATGGGGTGTCGGATGTTGTTGGTGAAAGTGTATTGGGTAGGAGGTGGAGGGAAGTATGTGGGCAGATGGCTGGTAGAGGCAAAGGGACCTTCGTTGGGAACGTAATGTGCGACCTCTTGGCCGGCTGTGTGAGCGAGGTTGAAGCTCTCGTGCGACGGTGAGGCCACGCGCTGGATAAAAGGAGAGCCGGACACCGACTGGGGGATGGCCTGCGGGCTCATGGTGAAGACGAACAGCCGGGGGTCAATCTGCCAGAAGCTACGACGGCTGACGAACATGTTGGCCCAGGATTGCGGGTCATAGGGCTCAGCGCCGACGGACGAGTCCTCGGAGGCAATGAGGCCCATGCGCTCGAGTTTCTGTAGCAGCGTGCGACCCTTGAAGAAGCCTTCGCGCTTGATGTTAACGCGCCAGTCGCCTCTGGGCTGGCCAGAAGGCGGGGTATTGGCGGAGGCGTCAGTCTGCAGACGACGGTCGGGCTGGGGTTCGTGGAAGTACCACCACAGCGTGACCCAGAGCATCATGGCGATCTGGCGAGTGGGGGAGCTGACCGGCTTGTAGTCACTGCTGGGTGGGTCGACAATGTAGGAAATGTAGAGGGAGTCATCGCGCAGGGTGGGGGTGGTGAAACGAGTTAGGCGGGCACGTTGCTCATCATCGCCAGTCCCGCGAGTTCGACCACGCTCTTCATCGTTGGTGTCTGTGGTGTCGGGGTCCGGACGGTCGGTGGCAAGCACAATACTCCAGCCAGGAGGCACGATGGACTGGCTGGAGTTGACATCGTTGGATTTGAAGGTGAAGCCACCGAAGACGGGGGAGACTGTGAAGCTCAGCCCGTTGGGCAGATGGCACACGTGATGGCGCATAGTTGCTGACTGGACCTGACTCTGAGCAGGAAAGGGGAGTGAAGAGAAAGCAGGAAGAGAAAGCAAGAGGCAGGGAAGAAGAAAGAGTAAATAGTCACTAGTAAATCGTAGTATCTACACAGTGGGGGGCAAAGAATGAGCTTGTGTGGGATGATGCGCAGTTGCCCCTCACTGGGTTTTTGACGATCGCGCGGCGCCTGCAGGAAACTCACTTTTGCTTTCACCGGCACTGCAGGAAATAGATCAGCCCAGTTCGGGTGCTGTCCGACTGGGTGGCCACATGTTCCTGGGGTGCCAATGGATCCCCGCGGCAGCACGAGAGATGCAAAAGTTGCAGTGAGCTGAGGCAGATGAAGCAGAAGCAGAACAAGAAATGAAGCTCAAAGAAAAGAAAAGAGAGACGATGGTTGATGTCATGTTCCGGGCGGTCAGCAAAATAGTCGAAATTGGGAGAGTTGATTGGCTGGGAGTTCATTCCTTACCCTATTTTCTCAGATTTACTTCTAATTTACCTGATATTTTTATGAGCATTCAAGAAAGAGGGTGAACAATAGAATAGAATAAAGATAGAATGAATGACTGAATTGAATATGGATATCATAGTCCAGCAATTACCTCCTTCCCGGTGCCCGCATCGTGAGTTTCAAGTAATTACTACATGAAAAGAAAGAAAAGCAATCAAAATTCCTCCAGTGTCGTGCCCACTCCCTTCTCCCGCGCCAGCCGCACCAGATCGCCGCCCGTCACCAGATCCATCAAGCCCATCCCCACGCTCTTGAAGATCACATTGCCGCGCTCCACCCAGTCCCGAAGACTCTTGCCATCCTCACTGTTGTCGCCCTCCCCGCGCGACGCATCCCGAACAATCAGCAGCTCTCCCAATTCCACCACCTGATGTGGCCGAATGCCCGCCTGCACAATCTCGCCGGCTTCCTTCAGCGCTGCATCCAAACTGTCCACCACCACCACGCCACTACGTCGCACATGCTTGTGGAAATGCCGATGCGAGCTGTGCACCGTCACCTCGTCGCGCAGCAACTCAGGTGGCAGCTCCGTCATATGCGGCCGGTATGATCCAATCGCGCTGATCAGACGGCCCTTTCGGCGTCCGTCGCGCGATGTGAGGATGTGTGCAGGGAAGAGCGGTTCCGTCGAGGGCGTGCAGCAGAAGATTGCATCTGCCTTGAGCAGCGCATCGTGCAGGATGCGGTCATACTCGACAAAGTCCGTGCTGACGGCGGAGAATTTCACATCGCCGCGCCAGCTGGCGTTTTCGGGGCTGTAGATATCACGCAGCAGCTGGGCCGCGCGGTCAAAGGATCGGTTGATGATATACACCCGTTTGATGCCCTCTCCGCGCAAGATCAACGCCAGCCGGATGTGCCAGTATGCCTGCTTGCCCGCTCCGAATACCACCACAGTCCGCACGCGCTTGCGTTTGTTGAGGGTCATAGTGGCGGTCAGGGCAGTGCGGAAGGGGGTGAGTTCGTGAGCGTTGATCAGTCCAAAGGGTAAGCTCGTCTCGTCGATCAGTGTCACCGTCCCTTGCGGGGAGGTATCGCGGGAGCCGGCGGCGGGCCAGGCCCCCATGGTGTTGGACAAACCGGTGTCGATGGGTTGTTGGTTCACGCAGCCGGGGGTCAGGGATTTGCTGCTGGAGGAGGGAGATGAGGAGGTATGGTCGTCGTCCTCTTGGGAGGACATGGATTGTTCACTGCCTTCGGAGGAGATGGAGGACATGGACTTGCGCTGGTTGACTCGGCTGGAGGAGGAAGTCCGAGAGGCTGCGGAGGACAAGTCTAAGGCAGGATCGACGGAGCAACCGGCCTGACCGTTATCTTGTAAGGAGATCATCTTCATGCCCAGGGTGTTACCCGTGCTGGCGGGCATGAACAGAGTGGTGCAGCCATTCTGATGGGTAATGGCCGTGCGCGTGGGTTGGTAGGCGGCCGCACAGCCCTTTTCTTGGCTACCGGTGGAGTAGTCCCTCAGAGCATTGGAAAGGTTCTGCTGGAGGTCGATGATCTGGTCGCGCGAGAGCGACAGGAGGAGAGAGCGGAGTTGTGTTTGAGAGAGGATGGTGAGTGGCATGATAAGCAGTTGATAAGAAAAGAGGAAGAGGGAGGGGAGAGTAGGAGAGTAGAGGAGGGAGGGACAAGATGGAGGATGGGGGAGAGGTGGAGAAGAACGAGCAGGGCAAGGGACAGTCCGGGAACAGCGGAGACGATGGGGGAGTTAATATATTAATTTAGTATCTGAGTACATGCGATAAAGACACGGACAGAGAGAGAAAGAAAGTCGCGAAGACGCAAGCGGGCGGGTTCACTTTTCTGGGCGGGCGGACCGGATGACGACAATCTCTCAGCCTCGGCGGGGCGCTGGACAATACCGATTGTCTTATTTTCCCTTTGAAAATGGAAGATAATACTGTAGAATAATTCAAGGTGATATCCCAAGTATACACACCCACAAGTAATTGATAGTCCGGTCCATCAATTCCTATCCCTGATGAAAGGGTAGAAGTGATCATCGGAAAGGAAGCCACTCGGGGAATTTGCTCGTGCGTCTATACCTTGTAGTACTTTTAGTCCAGTAGTAGTGATGATACACCCTCCACCATCCATTATCATCCCAAAACTCTCTCCTTTGTTGGATTGGTTTGTTAATTGCCCAGCATTGGCATCTCCAACTATCTGATACATACATAACTCCCCAAATACACACTTCGAGGCAATTCTGGCGAATTCGATACTATAAATACCATACGAACTGGTAATCCCCTCTTCCCTTCCCCTTGGCATCCATCCACCACCACTGGCAACTAGTCCTAATCCAGTAAGTATCTGGTGGGGGGGAAGGATGGGTGGGGTGGAGCCCAGACACTGAACTAGGAAATCCTCCTCCCCACCACCCAATCCATCCGCAACGGGAAGGGGAAATAATCAGCAGAAAAAAGAAAGAAAAATCAATTGTCATTTCCATAAATCCAAGACAAGATTCGATAGTTTCTGCCGTTGTGTTGCTTGTCTCTCAATAATTCATCCACTAGTTGGTGGTTCTACTTGTCATAATGGGTAATGGGGGTTGCTGTCATATCATTTCGTGATACCATTAATTGCTAATTGCTAACTACATACTGTAATGCGACAACGTTGGTTGGTTTGTGTCTGACGTATACCAGCATACTGAGGACTATGATCTCCGTGGCATGAAGTACGTACTTGCATACATAACTATAACTCCTACGGAGTACCAGTTACTAGACATCCGTGGTGATGGCTGAAACATCTTGCAACAGGCAGATGCATAAGCCAGTATAGAGTACAGATTGTCTGCCTATCTACTCTCCATCCATCCGATTACGCATCATCCATTCCAATTCCACGTAAGTCCATCCCCCCTCTCTCTACCCCAGATAAGCATTGTTGAAAGTATTCCCACATTCCTATCTTCTCCGCGCGTACCATGCACAAAAGTACATTCCTCATTCCTCGCTGTCAATCAACCATCCCCTCTCGCCACCCTTACTCCTCCACGGCTACTATCGGCCCTGCACTCTGCCATCTCATTGCTCGCACGGATACCATTTCCTTCTGTCCAGATGATCAAGCACAATACCTTAGTCAATACTCATGTATTAATCAGATGATAATAATAATAATACTATGCTATTATACCATAAGTAGGGCGCAAATCTACCGTGCTTGTACATACAGATCCAGGTAATAATATCATCATCAAAGGGGTCAGTTGGGCAATCTGGGACGGAAGTATGGGTAGAAAAAATAAAGATTCACCGACGCGGAAGCATCCAAAAAAATAAGTCAAGAATGAACAAAAAGCAAAATACACATGGAAGAAAAATCAATATCCAAAGAGACCAGTATCAACGCCGCTGTGCAATGCATATTCAATCACCATCATGGGATACGAGTGTAAGTACTATCCTCTTGTAGATCACGGGAAGAGAGAGGGGTAGAGGGTATTGGGTCAACCGCTTTTATCATCACACGGTAAGACAGAGAAAAGAAATTCATCAACTATCCCAAAATTTGGGATGATAGGGGGAAATGGAAAAGCAAAAATGCAATGCAGGTATTAGAAGACAATCGTCCGAAACTCATCAAGTCCAGCTCGATGAACCCTAATGCCGACGGCCTCCCATGTACGACCCTGCCGCGGATGCCAGGAACCGCGCTACAAACCCCGGGTGGGTTTGTCCGGGTCCATGTGCGTGACTCAGGGAGTGTCGGGCTTTCTTATTCGGCTGCGACAGCTCCTCCACTTTCGTGCCGCCCATCGAGACATAGCCGTTGCTCGCCGATGGGCTGCGACTGCCATCCACCACGTGCACCTCGTTCATACTGGCTATCGAGCTGGAGGTGCGCAGACTAGCGGGCGTGTCGCCCCGTGAGCTGGGTGCGATGCTGGAAGCACGCGAGCTCAGTGAGGGAAGCGTTTCAGCACGTGATAGGCCTGGGACATCCTGCAAAGCTGGCGGAGAAGAGACGGACCCATGGCTGCGGGTCGAGGGACGTCGACGGGGTGGGTACGGGCGGTACCGCTCCGACTCGGCCACGGACGCTGGAGAGGCGCAGTAGGAGCTGCCTGAGGAGACGGAAGAAAGGGAAGCTGACGATGCTGGGCTGGGGGGCAGACGTCTCCGTGTGGGAGACTCGCCAGGCAGACGGCGACCCTCGGCCTTCTGACGGTGAAGGCGAGCAGCAAACAGGTCGGCAGAGGCATGGAAGCGACGCCATTCACGGGGCTGACGCAGCTGAGCCTCGCGCTGTCGCTGCTCCTGGAGCTGGAGACGGCGACGGATGGGCATGAGGAACGGCTCCAGGTGGTGCAGGAGGTCGGCCTCGTCGACACGGATGTCCCAGTCCAGCAGGAAGAGCAGCTGACGCTCCATCAGGTTGACTTCGGGCAGCGAGAATCCAAAGCCCTCGTAGCCGCGGACGGAGGTGTACCGGGCCCAGTGCTTGTTCTTTGGACTGGAGTCGTTGAGGTTCTTGGCTGCCAGAATCAGGGAAGCCAGGAAGATGCGATGCACTGTGCAGCGCATGCCCTTGGCGACGGGGGGCAGGCGAGCCCGCAGCCGGGCCAGGTAGACCAGCGAGGTCATCAGCGTCGGCACCTGCACCTGCGATCGGAGCACTAGCGAGGTAATAAAGGTGGTGACAGATGGTAGAGGAGGCAGGTCTGCATCCAAGGGCGGCGTGCTGGGGGGAGTGGGCTGGCCATGCGCGTGATGTGCTGTCACATGCGGTTCGCAGCGGATGACCTGCATCGCTTGTTGAGCCAGATGAGAGATCATGTCTCGCGAGACGGGCTGCATGATGAACTCATGCAGCGCCGCCCGATCGAAATCCATGATGCCGGTGGTGGTGTTGGTGGTGGGGGATGCAAAGTTGGTGTAAGGAGAGTAGGGATGGACAGCCATGGTACTTTGCAGGATGCAGGGGAAGAAAAAGATGAGAGACGAGAGAGCGAGAGCCAGCAAACAAAAAAGAAAGCGAGCAAGACGCAGGATATAGAGAGGGCTTGAATGGACGAGTGAAGAATGTGAATCCTGCCAGCAGGAAAGGGTAAGGAATGTGTTGTCGTGTCAACCTCCGTGATGAATGGGCTTAAGATAGTAGTGAGACAGTCACTTGAGACAAGTGATAAGATCGGTTAATTGCCACTTGAGGGGAGGGAAGATCGTTCCAATATTAAATAGAGCAGAGACAAGACTTGTCAACGGGTTAATGATAATAAATAAAAATAGTATATAGTATAACAAGTAGAAGGGGTGGTGGTGGTGGTGGTGGTGGTGGTGGGGAAATAAAAATAACCACACGATGCTATGATGGCGGAGTAAGTGGTTGTTGATTATGATGTTTGTGTTGGTATAGTTAAATAACTTCCCTCGTGAAGAATGAATGACCGACCAGGAAAAAACAGCGACGAAACGACGGATCTTCCAAGCCTGATATAACACCAACAGCGAAGGCTGGACAGGAGCTGCAAGGACAGGAGGGCACCCGACGCGCATTGCATTACATGCATTCAAATCCATCCATTCAACCCCATCCAGGTTGGGACCTGACAAGCACCCTAGACAAGAACGAACTAACCACCAGTCCTGCAGGGGCCGATCGATGGATGATCGCTGGATGTAGGTTTGGCGCGCGCGACAGCCCGAGACCACCAGTAGCCAAGCATAACGGGATGATGGGATGATTGGATGACAGGATTGGAGGGGAAGAAGGGCACAAAAATGGAACTGGAATTATGTGTAAGTTGTCTGTGTCTGTGTGTCCTGGGGTGGGTTTGGGGGCGCGCGCCAAAAGAATGCCCGAGACACGAGATGCAGGAATGAATCAAGGAGCGTGGCGGGAAATAATGGGAAAAAAAGGCAAAAAAAAATAAGGTGAGAGGCCCAGCTGAGCGCGTCGCCAGCACGAAGTCTCCCATCACGATCCTGGAACGCGTGAGAGATACTTGGCCAGCCTGATGTTATTTCTAATTATACTCAAGGAGGATTTCTACAACATGTGTTAGTTATTTTTCCCCCCATTCCAGTCTGATTGATTGATTGATGCTACCCCTCTCTTTTCCTCCCTGTCAGCACTTTAGGGCTGCTGCACTTAAGCGCCCGGATGCAAGCGCCGCAATTGATGATCGTGCATAAGTTGGTAGGCTAGCTAAAATAGCTGGATGTGATTGTGTTTGCCCCTCATGCTGATGCTTCTATTCTTGTTACTTCACCTGGCTAGCTGCTACACTGGCTACGTCTGCCTGTCTTGCATTGGCTCTGCTTGACATCCCTCTCTTCTCCACCTCCGCGGTTAGGTCTCAACGTGGGTGACGATGGTTATATTTAGCAATCTTGATGGAATTCCTCCATGATTATCAACCCAACGGGGTTCCAGGCCTATGTACATATGATGATTCGACCGTCGCCTCGTCGCCCCGGCGCGTCATCAAACCATCGACTCCTGCTTGCCACCCCGAGTAAACCCCCCCTTCTTCAGGAAAACAACCCCCCCTCGTCCTATAACTATGTCCCTCCGGTATCCTGCCTAGGGAGCTGAAACACGGCGCCTACATTCTCATCCTCCGCTCCTAACAATCCCTTTTTGAAATCATCAGTATGTATCCTGCCACACTCGGTGTTTGTGATTTTATTTACTCGATGGAAACGGAGTACTCGGACACCTTCAGCTCGGCGTTGCTGCCGGTGAAGGGCTCGGTACCCGCCTCAAGGGTGGTCAGGTACAGGCTGTCAGAGACACCCTCGTTGTCCACCAGGTAGGTGAAGAAGTCGTTCAAGTCACCGGAGAAGTCCTCGGTGGTCGACTGGGCGACGAAGCTGTAGACGGTGGTGTCGCCGTTGGGGCCGGTGTACAGGTCCCAGGTCACGCCGTTGATCGTCGGGGTGGCAATGGTCGAGCCGGTCGACGAGATGGGGCCAGCACCGCCGAGAGCAGCAAGCCAGACCATGATCTCGTACTCATCGGAAGAGGCGTCGGCGGTCGAGCCCAGGAACATGTCGTAGGCCACGTCGGCCACGATATCGGAGCCAGAGTAACTATTCCCAAAAAGTCAGCATGCGTCCTGATGGTCGGTCAGAAGGTCTAGGCTGCAACATACGTCCACTTCCAGGTGGAGGGGATGCTGGAGATTGAGCTCAGCTGAGTACCAGTGAACTGCAGAGCAGCGTTGGCGTAGCTCTTGACGTCACTGCTGCCACCCTCCCAGGACCAGCTGGTGTGCCAGGCGATCTCAGAGCCGCTGGACGAGTCGACGCCAGTGCACTGGGAGCCGCTGGAGGCGTTGTCTTCACCCCAGAGGTCGTTGTACAGGATGAAGTCACCGGCGGTGGCGGTATCCCATTGGCCGCAGAAGTCGCTGCGGCGGCTGATAGAGGCGGCCGAAGCCAAAGAAAGAAGAGCGGAAAGAGCGAGAACCTTCATGATGATGGTGATTATTGGTCAAAGGAAAGACGATTGGTCGGGTAAAGTATTGATATTGGTGCAATGTGCGATCAACGTCCACTGACCCAGAGAATTATAGTGAATGAGCTGCTGAAGAGAAATCCATCTTCCTCCGACCGGGCTGCCTTCTTATAGCCATGGGTGTGCCGTCTAGGTCTTCTGGAACAGGATAAATTTAGGCATAGCCCTCATCAAGCAGAAACAGCCGGGGCGATTTAGCCTATGGACCTGCTGAGCTTGGTCCTCATGGCCGTTGAGACATGTGCACTCAGAGTCAACGAAGGTTCTTGGAAACTCCGTCGCCGAATGGATCCTGACCCCGAGTGGACCAGGAGGGAGAAGGCCGATAGGATGAGTGTGGTGCTTGTTCCTGGTTTCGAAACGGTCCCACGGAATGCCCCGTGCAGGATGGAGGTCAACCAAACTCACGGACACGGTGGAAATATCCAGAGGAAGCTTAGATCAGGGGAATCTCAGTGGATTCGTCATCTCGAGACGGTATAATGTCCCGGATGAGAGGGGGCAGCCACGGAGATGGTCCGTTTCGGATTAGATAACAGGATGCCGTTTAAATGAATGTCTAGGACGCCCGAGGGGGGCGTGGCTCGTCCGCAGGGTTCCAAAAGGTGGACAGCTTTATTAATCGATCGGACTAATCCCCAATCGGGCTCCGTCGAGACACATGGTGCTGTCAGAACAAGCTATTTTGTGGACGGATTAATTTGACGTTGGGTATTATCAAAGTAGAGTTAGTACTACGGAGTAACTAACAGACTAACTAGTTAGTGAGTTGACTCGGGGAAATGAATAATCACGGGATGATCAGAATGATAGTTTTGGCGTGTTTGACAGCCAGGCAAACACGGCCAAAAGCTGCTGTCTGCTGCTGACTCAGCCGGACCATCCTGGTAGCCTTCCCGGATCAGGCAACCCTGGAATTGAATATCCTCAATCCATCAATCAGAACAATAAAGAATAATCACCCCATCCTTTCCACACCCTCTCCTCTCTTTCTCCTTCCCACGCCCTCCCCCCCTTCCCCACCACCCATTAGCTCTCTGCAGCTTCTGTTTTTCCGGCCAATTGCTTTCCGGAACAGTTCGTCATCATGCGCTGCGCTAGCTTCGCCGTGGCCCTCCTGGCCCTTTTTACCGGTCTCTACAGCTACCTGAACGCGCGGCTGGAGCAGTTCTACATCTTCGATCCTTCCCACTTGCACGACCTGTCGCAGCGCGCCATTGCTGCTCACGGTAATGACACTCGCTCGGTCGTGAACTTCATCGTCTCCGAGCTGGGCGAGAAGGTCACCGACACGCACCTGAACCTGGACGAGGAATGGGTGTTCAACAACGCCGGTGGTGCGATGGGGGCAATGTATATTATTCATGCTAGTGCGTCCCCTCTTTTGCTCCATACCACATCTATATTTATCCATAGTGTCTGTGCTAAGCTTTTATTTTCCTATAGGTATCACGGAGTACTTGATCATTTTCGGTATGGCTTCCCCTGTCTTCCGGATATTTTTATGCCCTTGATTGCACGTGCTAATACTCTCTCCTCATGCATTAGGCACCGCTATTGGTACTGAGGGCCACACTGGCCGTCACACGGCCGATGACTACTTCAACATCCTTCAGGGCACCCAGCTCGCCTACGTTCCTGGATCCTACGAGCCCGAGGTTTACCCCCAGGGTAGCGTGCACCACCTCCGCCGCGGTGAGGTCAAGCAGTACAAGATGGATGAGTCCTGCTTTGCTCTGGAGTACGCCCGTGGCTGGATCCCCCCGATGCTCTTCTTCGGATACGCCGATACCTTCTCCAGCACTCTCGACTTCCCGACCCTGTGGGCGACGTCGAGAATCACTGGTCGCGAGATGATCTCCAACCTGCTCAAGGGCAAGATGTAAACGATAGATGGCAAGATGATGGGTATATGTATAATACTATTACTATTCTCACTACATTAGATAGACGACGATGTTGTCCGATAGAATACACTACCATTTAATAACGCTACCACAATTCATCCTTTCACCCCCTTACGTCTTTCTCTTCTCCGTTGTGCCTGTTTATTTTTCACCCTTCCCGGGGAACTAACCACACAAACACTGCAAACACACCCACACCCTGACTCATCCTATCCCTTATCGATAAGCCAACATCCAGGCCCGCGAAATCAGTTTATCAAAAATTGCTCCCCTCATCGCCTCCACCATCACCCACTATACCCTTACCCTCAACCCAGAACCACCCCCACAAACCACCACCATGCCCCCCTCCCCTTGCGCCCGCTGCCACGACCAACGGGCAGTAATCATCCGCCCTAAGAACCGGCAAAAGCTGTGCCGCACGTGCTTCCTACACGTCTTCGAAACCGAAGTCCACGAAACCATCACCTCGACCTCCCTCTTCTACCCTGGCGAACGAGTCGCCATCGGCGCCAGCGGCGGCAAAGACAGCACGGTCCTGGCCGCCGTCCTCAAGACCCTCAACGAACGCTACAACTACGGCCTCGACCTATGCCTCCTCTCCATCGATGAAGGCATCAAGGGTTACCGCGACGACAGTCTCGAGACCGTGAAACGCAACGCCCAACAATACAACATGCCACTCGTAATCGTCAGCTACGGCGACCTATACGGCTGGACCATGGACCAGGTCGTAGCGCAGGTCGGCAAAAAGGGAAACTGCACATACTGCGGGGTATTTCGGCGGCAGGCGCTGGATCGCGGGGCCGCAAAGCTGGGCATTAAGCATGTGGTGACAGGTCATAACGCGGATGATGTGGCGGAGACGGTGATGATGAACTTGCTGAGAGGAGATTTACCGCGCTTGTCGAGGGGTACAAGTATTGTGACGGGGTCCGCGGCTAGTGATATCAAAAGGAGTAAGCCGTTGAAGTATGCTTATGAGAAGGAGATTGTGCTGTATGCGCATCATCGCCAGTTGGATTATTTCTCCACTGAGTGTATTTACTCTCCGGAGGCGTTTCGGGGAAGTGCGCGGACGTTGATTAAGGATTTGGAGAAGATTAGGCCGTCTTCGATTTTGGATATTGTTAAGTCTGGGGAGGATATGGCGCTTTTGGTGCCCGCTGAGGTTAGGGGGAAGGGGGGTGAGGATGAGGAGGGTGGCGGTGGTGGTGGGTGTGGAAGTCAGAATGGGAGGACGAGGGGTGGGGAGATGGCGGAGATGGAGAGGAAGCTGAAGGAGGATGAGGCTGCCAAGGATAGGGAGATGGAGATAACTTCTGATAGCGTGCCTAAGAAGCAGCAGCAGTCAGAGCAGGTGCAGACGCCGGCACAGAAGAAGGTCAAGTCGCAGGTACTGGGGACGTGTGAGCGCTGCGGGTATATCTCCAGTCAGCGCGTGTGCAAGGCTTGTACTCTGCTGGAGGGATTGAATAAGAATCGGCCCAAGACGGCGATTGAGATGGAAGTTGGTTTGGAAGATGAGGAGGGCAGCTCGACGTTGCGCAGGCAGATGGAGAAGGTTGAGTTGGGGGGTGTTTGAAGATATATAGTTATGCCCGTTATACATATACCCATGATACAGAGTTATATTATTAGAAGCAAAGTTCAGCTTCAGCCACCAGACTGGTTACTAAAGTTCTTTACTATAAATGTAAATAAAAAGAACAACCTGAAAGAGGATTACCAGTACCAATCACTGAAACGCACTTCATCATCATCTCACTACTACTAACATAATACATCCGTCCCATGGGACTATAGCCTACCTACCAGTACATGCCAGCCATATCTATACACCAGCCCATTCAATCAGAGAAAACACGTTCATAGTAATAAATTCAATATGAACTCTACAACACAGAATTTCCCCATACCATCTCAACAACCCCCTCGAAAAAAGACCCTCAGATCAATCATCACAGTTATCTATAATACAACCCTCCTCCCAAACATATCATACATACAAAATATCATACAAGCCCCCCAAATCCAACACAAAAGCCACAAATGAATCACAAATCTAGAAAAAAAAAAAATATATATATATATATACACCCAAAACTCCACCCATGACTTATTTTATCCACCCTCCCATCTCCTCCCCTTCCGCCATCTATCACACATCCCCCCAGCCCAATCTCTATCCCCCCAAACCCATAAGTCTCTGTATTTATTTATTCATCCCTCTCCTTCCCCGCCTCAACAGGCAAATCCCACCCGACCCGTCTAGCCGTCAACCGAATCCTCTCCTCCTCATCGAGGGTAGTACCGGGGTTATATCTCTCGACGAGCTCGGCATACACGCGCTGGGCTTTAGCGTAGATAGCGAACTGGTTTGCCTGATCGAGACGATGTTGGCGGAGGGATTCTTGTGCGTCTGCGTCCACAACACCCTGTTGGTTGTTGTTGTTGCTGATGTACATGTCGCGGAGGCGGTGTTGGAGAGGAGTAGGAGTGGAGAGGGTCCGGCGGGGGAGTTCGCGGAGGAGGGCGCGGTAGGTTGTGGTTGTTTTCGCGGCTGTGGACATTTTGATTTCTTTTTTCTTCTTCTTTCCTTCTTTGGGATTGGGGAGGTGTTTGGTGGGTGGTGTAGGTAGGTATGTATGTATGTATGTGGTGGGTTTGGTGGTGGGTGTGGATGGATGGCTACGGATAAGTTTACGGAGGTTGCGGTGTATATCACGTGATTTCACAATTCTTTCTCTCTCTAAGTTTGTAGCAAGATATGGATGGGGTTGTGAGTAGTAGAAAACTACATTATGTACATCATCATCAATCAAATGACGATCATCATTCATTGTACTCGTCAGCTTGGTGGTTGCTGTTGTTGCTGTTGCTGTTGCAGACTCTGCTGCAACTAGTCATAACTCTCCCTTTCTCTCTCTCGTCTCTCACGACCGTAACCAGCCGAACTTCTTGCGTCCGGTGTCGCCGCCTGCCGAGGGTTCGACTTGCATACTGCGCGAATACAAGTCCTGGTGATTGTTAGCATGATAGAAATGGAATGGGGTAATGGTAAAGTGAAAGATAGCGTACCTCGTCATCCCCCGACAGCTTAATCTCTAATATCAACCGTTCTACCTCCTCGTACTTGGACATATGCGGATACGGTGTCTTCTGGCTGCGCTGGATTCCCAGAACCACCTCTCCCATTACCTCGAACTTGCGCCAGTTGATGCGGTTCTTGTTGTCGCCCACAAACGTCTTGTTGCCCTCCTCCGCTGACACCAGATCGCGTCGGTGCAGCGGCAGGAACGGGATGCGCTCCGCAAAGGAATTGTCCCATGCGAGACGATATGCAAAATGACTCTTCTGTGTCCCCATGAGGATGACCAGCCTCATGAAGTCTTTTTGTGTCTGCACCGGGACCAGATCCCGTGTCTGGGACAGTCGGTGCACCGGGGTTCCGTTGATGCCGGCGATCACGGCCCCAAGAGAATTGTAATTGTTAAGTCGGCGCAGTTTCTGCGGCTGTCAGACAATGTCTCGGCGCTGTTCTTTCGAGTCAGACTTACCAATGCTATGTTCATGAATTTCTCAAGCGCCTTGGCCCGATGCTTGGGCTTATCGCGGAGTAGGATCACGCTGGCTACGAAAAATGCGACATGGTTGAACTGCTTGATCATCCGGTTGACGTGCTTCAAGCTCAAAATCTTGTCCTTCTCCACGCCGGAGATGCTGACATGTCGCACAAGGTCTCGCGGTCGGAAAGAATTGAACATGATCCAATCCATGCGCGTCAGCTCCCGTGCGAAATCCTCATCCGGGATCTCCATCAGCTGGCGCCATTGAATTTTCGTTAGCGGGATGCGTGGCGTGAGATCCAGGTTATGCGCCTCGCGTTGCGCAGCTTCGGTGCTTAGGAATGTGAAGGACTGGCTGGCAATGGTCCCGGGCTTTTCGGAGGTAAACGAATTCGACATCGACCCCGACAGTCTCGACGCAGGCTCGGCTGCACCCTCGCTAAGGTCCAAAGCGCTCATGTTGTAAATAGGATCCTCTTCCTCTTCCTCGCCTTCATCGCCAAGCGGCGGCGCCCCAAGGAAGATTGATGGTGAGCTGCGCCCGGAAAACTGGAGCGGGGGGTCGGCGGTGTCAGGTTCTTCCATGTCGCCATCCCTATACGGCCATCCAATATTATCGTCATCTGCATTCCCCTCCAGATACGATCCGATCTCCTTGGCGGCAAACATGTAAAAGTGGCTCTTCTCCAGCGTCGTGACGAAATCGGTAATTCGCTTGCGAGTCTTCGGGTACGCCAAGTCGCCCGGATATTCAGAAACCCACTGCGCCATCACTCCCAGCAGCCTTAGCTGAACTGCGATGCGGTCGAGTTGGTCCGTCACGTCGTTCTCATTCCGTTCGAATCGGTTAATTAGAGCATTCAGCAAGGTGCACGGCGCGGCGAACTTGCGATAGAGACACAAAAAGATGGACGCAAACTTCGAATCTTGCTTTGACATCGGTTGTGCGACCAGACGATCTACTAGCTCGTCAAAGGTGAAGCCTGCATCATTCGATGAGCTCTCGCTAGGCGTCTGGTCCTTGCTTCCCGGGCTCGACGGAGCACTCCGGGGCCCATCGTAGTCCTCCCCCATCTCTAGAAAATTGCTGAACGCATCTGACCCGCCGCTGTTGCGCCAGGCCGTATGAAGTCGATGTTGTCGGTTGAGATCCTTACTTGGTGACGACTCCCCGGATACAGACTGTTTGCGCGAGGCCAACCGGGACCCCGAAGGAGGCGTATGCGGTCGCACCGGATGCGAGTTGCTCCGGGCGTAACGAAAGGCCTGGCCATTGGAAGCCAGGTTGGCAGAGGTGGCCGGGTCGGTGGGTTGCCGGTCTACACCGTACCCATCGACAGCTGGATCAAGAGGTCCTGTGATTGGGCCGCCTGCGGCTCCGGATAATACAGCGGTGGGGGTCTCTGAGTTGGTGCGGCTGTGATGCCAGTCTGGGGTGGCGGATGAGTTGGAGGGGAAATCGATGAAGTCTAAAAGAGGAGCCGTTAGCATCCACGTGTGAACCAGACCAGCGGGAAAATAACGGCCACAGGAATTGGGTGGTCCAGCTGCGGTCCAGCTGCTCTTGCGCTGGACCCGAGCTGGACCCGAGGGATCGGCGGGTCCTGAAAACCACTGCACCACGAGATACGCGAACGCTAAACGCACGCCGCGCCGCAAACTAGCGCGAAACCCAGTGGGCCATCACTCTAAGGGATGGGCTATAGCCGGGGGGCGACGCAATGCGTTGGGTGATGCGAGCAGACAGATGGCCACCGAGGCAGTGGACCGTTCCGCCCTGTTCTTTGGGCTTTCCTCGCCTCTCGCGTATCCACATGGCAATCGCATAGGTCAGCTTGTCCACTTACCATATTTACGGTTGATCACAGAGCGCAGAACTAAGGCAATGCACATCTTCTGCGACCGTGGTGAGTCAGGTGAGGTCCGGTGGATTTCATAGCCACCCAATATTGGCTCCACAGGGCTGTCAGGGGGTTGTATGTCGCATTTGCTGGCCACCAGCGTAAAGGGTATGTCAGAAGCGGTTAAGGAGTCTGCAGTCCATCAGCCCACATCCTAGCGTTAAATTGCGCAGCGACCCCGGCCGCTGCAGAACCGGCAATGCGACCAACCTAGTAGTTCGGTAAATTCAGGGAAACTGGCCGGTTGAGTCATATCCAGTAGAACCAGCACCCCATCCACTGTAGGAGGCGAGTCGCTACCCAGTAAGGGCCAGTTGACCTCGCCATTGCTCCCAATCGTAATCTCCAATGTATCTATTTCCATCAGGCGAACCAAGTACACCGTCCCGTCCAGGGACATCTTCTTCGTAGTCGATCGGGAAGTAAGCGGATGCTTCATGTCCAAGGCGGTTTCAATGAATGTCGATTTTCCGACATGGTCAGGACCGACCACCGCGATGCTCACATGGGGGAAACTCGGCTTCGGCGTTGTCTGCGGTACACGCACGGAGGTCAGAAAAACATTGCGCTCGCCAAGGGTCCAATGACATGAGTTTGGATTAGCCATACCTCCTCACGGGTTGATGATGGCACCCTATCCCCTCCGGCCGATGGCGGGTTCTCATCCTCCTCCAGAAGTGTCCGGTCGACCTTATTCCCCGATTCCATTGCCGTTCTAGCCGAATCAAGTCGGTACAATCCTCCGACGGGAGCAGAAATCGTTCGACTGGGAAGGCCCGGTCGTTGTGGGAATGGCGCAGCATCGGCTTTATCGCTAGATGCTCGTTCTCTTCGCAAGGGTTGGGAGGCCATGGTGACGATGTGGCTTTACTTTATTTTTTTTTGTTTCTTCTGCGCGAACGGATGGGCGGTGCTGTGGCGCGAGTGAGGTCCGGTCGAACAAACAAGGTGCGACAGCGCAGGGTCCAACAGCTACGTAAGTGAGTGAGGCGGACACGACAGCTCATCCATTGTCGCTTGGGTGGAAAACGTAGAAAAGGTCCAGGCTTCGTCAGGTTCGCCGCAATCGAAAGATTCCCAAGAGGCTGCTCGAATCAGCTCGGGGGGGTTAATGTTCCCCTTTTATCTTCGGTTGTTTGTGGTGGTCAAATTTCGATGATGATTAGCTGAGTGGTTATTTTTTGTGGTCGTCTGCCTCGTTTTTCTTCTTTCTTTTCTTTTTCTCCGTCTTTCCTTTTCCTGCTTTTTCTCGACTATCGTGGATCTCGTCGGCTGAGGCAGGTTACCGGAGCTGGGACACAGGTAGAACCCAAGTTAGCAACAGAAACAACGATGGTACCGGCAAGAGGGTCGCACAAGTCTTACGAGAACTCGTCCGGGTTGGCAAATCGACCAGGGGGGCAGTCAGAGCAATGAGTGGCAGCGAAGAAACAGAGGGGGTGTCAGGGAGAGAGCAGCTTGAGGGAGTGCCGCCAGTTGCAGGCGGGAAGATGTCACTCGACCGAAAAATTGAGCCCCCAAAGAGTCAGTCAGAAGTTGGGGCAGTTTTGGGGGGTGGAGGCTGCGGGCGGGGAGATTTGGAAAGTAAGTCTGGTTCGGTTTTAACCCTCTCTCTCCAACGGCAGGTTGATGATGATTATTATTATTATTATGGTTATGCTTTTGTGTTTTGAAATTTTTATTATTAGAAACACCGGGGCACTTCTATGGGTCAATCCGGCAGAATCCCTAGCGGAGCAACACAATGGCAGGACATCCCAGGCCAACTGGGGAGGATTGTGATCTTACTAAAATCGGTCGTGTTCACCACCGGATAGACCTTGTGTGTCCCGCCGCCGCCTTTCTCTCCTCACGCTTTCCCTTCCTCACTAAACTCTCCGGCCAACGATCCAGAACCCCAATCGCTACTGCTTGTCAGCAAGGGAGTCGGTCGTCAAAAGCTAACTCGCCTAAACAGCGCGGCAAGTTACTTTGCATTCAACAATAGCAATGCGTTCAATTCAATTCACCCAGTTGATTGTTCCCCAGAGTGTCTCCAAGCATACAGTAACATCACAGGCAAACGGTCCATGTCTCTCTCCTCCCCGGAATTTCCCATTGACATGAGCGGGCGGAGGTGCTCGGGACGAATAACATCGCAGTTCGTCAAGACTTAGCCAGTGTTCCAAGACGGGGAGATCGGTAACTAACTCAAGTAGTC